CGGGAGCCGCCGCGGGAGGAGCGGAGGCTTCGGGGAGCGCTTCCTTCCCACCGCCCGCACCGCCGTGCGCGGCAGCCCCAGCATGGAAGCCATCGCCAAGTACGACTTCAAAGCCACCGCGGATGACGAGCTGAGCTTCAAACGGGGGGATATCCTTAAGGTAAGTGGGGGGTAAGGGCTCGGGAGTTCCCTCTTTCGCCCTGAGTTTTTCAGCCTCTCTCGTGAGTCTCTTCCTGTCCCTCAGACCTGATCCTCTTTTGCGTCCCATGTGAACGCCATCTCCTTTTTTAGGGTACCTCAAAAAGTCTGACCTCTTTAAGAGCAGGAGAGGCTGTTTTGTTTCTGTGTTAAGCGTGCATCCCAAAGTCTCTCGTTTCTCTCTTCTGAGATTGGAATGTGTGAAAACTTAGTCGTAAACATGGTAGCAAATAAGCAGAAGTACAAGATAATCTCTATGCTGAATTTCCCTTCTACGAGAGGAAACCCCGTAATCAAGATCAATTTGGTATTCCTTTCCTTTGCCTCCTGCCAAGGATTCCAATATCAAAGAACAGTGATTAGATTGCTTCTCGGTAGATAATCTTTTAGCATCAGGCTGTCAAATATTGGTGCTGAGTTTTATCTTCAGTCCTGATTAACTCGAGTGATAAGCTTGTGGCTGAATATTTAATGGATCTGTGCAGATGTAAGTTTATGTTGGAGTGTATCAGAGGAATTCTGGTCTATAGTTCTTTCGATATACCGAAGGCTTTTTAGGCTTTATTTTAGCTATATTAAATGAATTAGAGAAATATTATTTAAAAAAAATGGACACACAGAACAAGCTCAAAATTTTATTTGGAGGGGTGTGTTAATATATAAAAATCCATAATGATTTGGCCTCAGTGAAGCGTAGCTCCGAGCTTTGTTACTTCCAACATATTGCAGAATGTTTTAATGGAGTTTCAATCAGAGTCAGTATTTCTCCATAAATATGTGAGATGGGCTTTACCTTCCTAGAGTGATGTATTTAGTATGAAAGTCTTTTAAGCTGCTTCTTTCTAAAATGATTTGAGTAGAAACTGTTCTGAGAGGTGCCTATCCTGCAGATGTAAGAATGTAACTTTGTGTATGCTGACAAATCAAGTCCTGCAGACCTCAATGGGATTACTCATCTGCTCAGAATTTTTGCCAGGGAAGGGCTTGATTTTAACTACTATTTTAACATAAGGTGGAAAAAAGAACATCTATGTGTAAACTTAATATGCATCTTTTGTAGCTGATATTTCAATAGCGTAACGGTGGCTGTGTTAAAAGTGCAGTAATACTGTGTTGCCATCAACAGATAAAGGTTGCAAAAATGTATCCTGCTTTGAGATTGTTACCTCTTAAAATAATTCCATCTGTATATACCCTACACATCCCTGGCCCTAAGTTACCAGAATATTTCCTTTTGCTGTTTTTAAACATTTGAGACTTCCAGAATTTTAGAAGTCTTCTGTGATAACCTTGCATTTATTTTTCTTAACCTGAGCTGTATTCTTCCATTTTTGGTTACTGCTAGCAGCCTTCAGCTTTAATAAAGATTATTTGAAGTAGAGCACAGCTGAAGTAAGCTTGTAGAAAATGCTAAGCAGGAAGGAAAAAATAAGTATAATGAAATACAGTTTATTTCAAAGTGTTTTCTTACTTATTTTCGTTTAGTTTGGTATAGAAGTTTGCTGAAGTACATGAAAAAATGTCTTGTAAAATTTCCATTAGTTTAAAAATACTTTCTTCTCTAAGAATTGAAGGAAAAATAACTTTTTAGACTTTTGAAAGTTTAGTCTGTACTAAAACTCTTACAACTATGCACAGTGGCTGATAACAAGATGTTCTCGAGTCCTAACCACTTGATGTCATCCCATAGATAAAAATTTTGTCGCTAATAGAAGCATGGTGGTATGTATGTTGTTACACTGCATTAATCATTGTATTTTTCCTAGAATACAGAGGGATTTTCCTACTTTACACAAAACCTAGGCTGAACACTTCCTCAAAGCATTGGTGAACAGTCTTGAAACTGTATTTCTTTTCAGCTCCTATTCTGAAAACATTTACAAATTTTACATCTGTACTTCACAGATGAGTAAAGTGAGTCATAGAAATGGTAAATTGCTCAAGATTATCACTGAAGTTAGTGGAAACTCCAAGAGTTTCAGGAATCCTTCTTCTGGACATAGTTGAGATGAGTTCTGTGCAACATGGTGAGGTTCACTGTCTAAAGCTGGCAAATTTCAGTCAAATAAACCAACAACAATTAGAATTGTTACAGATCACTTTACTCAAACTGACAAACTTCTGGGGCATGTTGTCATTTTGAAAGTCTGGTTCATTTCAAATGTGTTTCAGGTTGTGGAAATTAATTTCCATCAAACATGCCAGATCTGTTTTGTTAGTACTTTGCTCATGACTGAGAAATCTCAGGGTGTCGCATTCATGTGCCTCATGTGAACTGTCTTATTAAACAGGTCAATCCTGCTGCCCTCAAAGAAATTGGGAAGAGAAGTACACTTGTAATATGTTGAATGCACCTGCATGCTTCACTCTTTAGATATCCCTTGCTGAGATGCACACGTAACTTGACGTCTTGTGAAGACTTCTTTAAATCTCGCTATTAGACGCCTGTCTTGATGCACCTCCGTAGGGTTGAGTTAGTTTGACGGCATATATGATGATGGCAAAGGATTGTTTCATAGAGAAACGTTATGCCTTGTCCATGCTAAGGAAAGAACAAAATCTATAACACTTTTAATTCCCACTCCTTAAAAGTTCATGTTTCTTTGTGGGGAGAGAAGGCAAAGATGCACGCTGTCTGACTCCCTCTGATTTCAGCAGATAACTTGCCTATGATGTCATGGTGCCATTACTGCTGCATACCCACATATTCGGGACTTGATTGAATAGCATTTGAACTGTAGCCATTAAGCTGGTTGTTAGTAATCTTGTGGCTGGTTTCCAAAAGTGAGTGAAGATAGTTGACCTTTGGCTTGCAATTGTGAAACAGCTGAGTGAAGAGGAAAAGTGCTTGGCCTTTTCTTTTGTGGGCACTATATGGTAAAAGCTGCTTCTATGATTTTTGTAACCCTGGCCAGTATACTGGATCCCCTTCCCCTTTTGTCTACTGGTTCTATAGCACTGGGTGGTATTGCCATGCAGGAGATGCAAACTGATAGTGTCTTTTAAAATTTTTAAATATGCTAAATACTGCTTGCTGAGCCCTTTCCAGAGAAAGGAAAGGTTGCTGCTTTCTTCTGTGCCTTCTGATTACAGTACAGTGCTGCAGCTCCCAAGATCACTGCTCTTTTCATGTACTGGCGGTTGCTTCACAAAAGCTTGTTGCTGATTGGCATCCTTTTGGGGGTGTGAAGACAGCCTGTCCTGTTACTTTAAAAAAGTAGAGAAAGGAAACTGAGGGATTCCTACTTGAAATCTTGATTTACTGTTTTTCACTTTGAATAGTTCGTAGTTCTCATGATGCTTTTTCAGGCTTTTCCTCTTTCACTTGCTGTATTTGTTGAAGTTGGGAGTAGTTAACTTCAGTCTCTGTCTATATTTGTTATTCAGGTTTTACGTCCCCAAAACTATTGTATTTCTAGCAGCTTCTGATTTTGTTGGCCTTTGTGCTAACTGGCAAGTATCCAGACCTAAAGTGTGCTAATACTTGCTGGTGGTTTGGCGGGGGGGGGGGGAAAAAAGAAGAAAAATCATCATTCTTTCTCTCATTTCGTCATCATTTCTTTTCTCTATTCCTCCTACGTCTGATCTGAAGTGTACAGTTAATACCATGGTACTCTGATAAATGTTTCTGCATGGTTAATACAGAAGCACTAAAACATATTCATGAATAACTTGAATGTTAGAATTGGTTGGTTTTTTTTAAATATAGACCACTGCTCCATTTCCTCTTTCTCCTTTCATAGAGTTGAGGCACAGCTGGAAAGTGATCTTCTGTAGAACTGAAAAAGTTCCTGTTCTCAGTAGTTGTCAGTTAATTCAGGAGCACTTGTAGAATGTTTTTATGAGTAAAATTATTCAGATGGTGTTTTAAATAGAGGGCCTTCGTGATCTTTAATTTTGGGGGTTTTCACTTTTGTGTGACACACAAACCAGCTTCCCTGTATACTAAAAGAAGGAATTTCTTGATAGGATTTTGATTGCTTGACAATTCCATTCAGCAAAGTCAAGACTTCTGTTTCCTACTTTGAACGTACAGTTGACAGTCACCACGGGTTCTGTTCCCATGATTGTTTGCCACCAGACTTATTTTCTTTCTGTCAGCCTTTAAGAGGATTGAGTGTTTGCAAACAGTTGATGCTGAGATGGCATTTTCAGTTCCTGCATGAAAACCATTTTTCTGTGTCTGGATACAGTGAAACAGTTTTGAATAGAGGGAGGAATATGATAAGCAAGGGGAGCATGGCCTCCCTTGTCTTGTTCATCCCTTGTCTTTGACCTCACCTGCACTGGCTGTTTTGTTGTGGTGTCTGTGCTAGAGAACAGAAATTCATGGCTTGCTGAAGAGTAATGCAAATAGTTTTCCTCTGTTTTGGGTGAAATTACCTTCACTCTCATCCTTCCTCTCCCTTCCTTCAACTTTCTCCATTTTTTTTGTAAGGGAAAGGACTCAGTGTGGTCTTGATTTTAATGATTGAGGCAAATTGCAAGGACTGTGTGCTTTATAGTGAAATAGGTCAAATATTAGAACAGGTTGTCCAGAGAAGTTGTGGAATCCCCATCCTTGGAAATACCCAGACAAGTCCCTAAGCACTCTGATCTAATTAGAGTTGTTTGAAGCAGGAGGGTAGATGGGGGAACTTCCAGAGGCCCATCCAACCTTCGCTATTCTGTGACTTAGCTGTGAGTGGCAACTTTGTTGTACGTGATGGTTGATTTGTAAAGGTGCACTTAGGTCATGTTCCTTGGCTGGTGGCCTTGAATGAAGATGATATTTGTCATCAATATGTGATTGATATCGCAGTCTAAGACGACAAAACTGTCAGAAAATTAGAGGCTCATAAAGACAGTTATCTTAAATGTAGTTGATTTGGCATCCTGGTAGTTGGAGATCTGTATTACAAAAAGGTGCTGCTATAAGAGGCTGCATTCTCCTGGTCTACCCAACTATTCAATGCCTGTGTT